CATACCTCACAAACAGTACAGTGCCATCTGGTCTCCACATGATGCTTGCACTCATTGCAGGTGTAAACAAAGCGGTCTTGGCTCTGGGTATGCAGTTCCACCAGCATGCACATGGTTGACCACTGAGCTCTTCGTAGTGAGGAGAACTCCAGGTGCTTGTCTCTAGCAAGGGTTAGGAAAGCATCACGCCCATCCATCAGGTCACACGGAATGAGTGGGTCAGGCTCAACAATGGGGGGCAGGGAGTTGGCTGCAGGGCCAGCAATGAGACGGATGACAAAGAAGACCTGAAAAGTAAAAAGACAGAACATGCCAGCACTTATCAACATGTTTTGGTCACCAAACTTCATTACACAGAGTATACAATTCCAGGACTAACTAACACTTGAATTATGTCCTGCTAGTATGGGGTGTGCTTGTAAAGGTTGGGAAATCTCAAACCTCTGGGTGCCCTGCAGGTTAACCTTCTTCAGAAGCATTAGGTAAGGAAGACTGGACAGAGCATTAACAGAAAAACTGTTGTGGCAATTCAGACTGTCAGGAAGTTTTACGAGCACAGTTTTATTTATCCCTACTGCCCTCACAGCAAAGACTCATCTGGTGTGCCACTCAATTCTCTAGCCAAACTTGTGTAATTTACAGGGCACAACTCTATTTCAAGTATCAAAGCTCTGTACACCCCTCTACTTAAATAAAATATGTATTTCTCATTCTATGAGCTCTTACCTCCTTGTGCTTCTCCATAGTGGCATACAGCTTTTGTGAGAGGTCATTGGACACGTTGGGCATGCCAGGCTTTTTCTTATTGCCACGACTCAAGCTGCTCTTGTTCTTACTTGTCTTTTTATTGTTCTTCTTTTTGGCATTTTTGCTGTCTCCCTTGCTCACCTATTGAATTTAAAGGTATTTTATGTCAGGTATCTAAGTCACACCACATGAGCATTTTATTACTTTCACATCTTCTATAACTGCAGGACAAAACACACTTTACAGTAATTTACTCCAAAGACACTAACAGGATCCCCTGAAACATTAAATTAATTCCATTAGAATCACTCCAGAAGATATCAAGATCAGCAGTACATAGTTCTAAAAATACTAGAAGCATAAATGCTCAGGAGGTGCAAGGGAAATGTTATTTACTGAAGCCTGTTTGTCTGCTATAGTTGAACACTGAAGAACCTCTTGGATAATCACAAAGGGATCAGCAGATGGCTTCTCAATGCAATTCAAAACTAAAAATAACTGAAAAGTACAACAGATATTGCACTAACAAGAGATAAGAAAGACTTAATCCCCCTAGATTTAGTTTGTTACACCTGACAGATTCATTTTGATTTTTGAACAGACTGCATTAAACTGGTTTTGATATGAAGCTGTTCTTCTGAGTCCAAAAGGCACCAGTAGCGCCATTTCTAGAATGCCCCTTTCTCCTGTCACATCCTGCAACAGTTGAACAAAACGGGCCAGCTTAATTTAAATTATAATCAATTAGCAATGAACAGTTTATTCCTCTCTGTGCTTCTCAGAGGGCCCCTTAAAACATTACAGCATATGATGATCAAGGATCAAAGCAATTCTTATCCAAATAAGTATTCTTCCTAAGCTTAAAATAACTTTGTCAGGATGGAAATTTCCAGTGAATGAATGAATATCACTTAATTTGAGAATACAGTTTATTATTGTCTCATTTTCAAGAAGTGAAACATAGGGGTCAATAAGAGTTGAAATTATTTTTAACAAGAAAGGTTAAATAGTAATACGCTGTAAGCTTCCCCCACTACAGGATTTTGGGGCCAATCTGCTGTGAAGGATCAGCTAAGTGTTGACCAGCCTCACACACAGAGTTAGGTCAGATTCCTCACAACTGGTTTCTGGTATATTAGAGAGATGGGAACTTGCAACTATGCCAAGTGGAAAACATACTTTTAAATAATAGCTTCTTAAGTAAGATGTTAGTTAATGCAAATTTGCTATCGAGTTGCCTAATTCCCAGGTCCCTCCTGCACTTATATTCAAAGTCCTTGAAAGAAGGTATTGCAAAGAGCAGCACAGGAGGACTACAATTTCTAGTTGTAATATTAAGCAAAACTTTTTTGATCCAAAGGTCTTTTAGGAAACTACTGACTTCACCCTAGATGCACCACCTCTTCCAGAAAAGCTCAAAGAACCAAGGATGGGCAGATGCATAAATTCTGCATCTGTTCATTTTCAAATTTATTGTTGAATTAAGAGGTATACTTTTTTTGTTCTTTGTGGAATGTGAAAGCACAGTTGTTGCACGTTCTCAAAAAAAATTGCACAAGACACCAGCAAGAAATTTCTCTATGTTAAGCAGCCCTACAACAATTGAGCAGTATTTCACACTTCAGATCCTTAATGCCTTAAAGCTTCCCACTAAAAACACCCTACACTGAGTAAGCTACTAAATCAGAGCTCTCTTACTTTCTCAGAATGTTCTGCTAAGATTGTTAGAAAGTTACAAAGAACGGAGTTAGCTACTGTCCAAAAGCTAAAGCTTAAGGAAAAAGCTTCCGAGTCAGGCTGAGGTTGAAGCACGAACACTGATAATAATTGCATTTCAGCAGCAAAATACTACACTAGCAACTGTTTTAACCTGACTTAAGTAATTAGTTAGGTTTATAGTCATATGGACAACCCCTGTTCATACAAATGTAGCTTAGCAGTATTTTAACAGCTCTAATTTATAAAATGTAAAATTGAAATTTATATTAGAGTGAAGCTAGAAATGTGAAAAAGAGTTAACTGAAGTAATTGTTCTTTTTGGCATTTTGCTGTCTCCCTTGCTCACCTATTAATTTTAAAGACATTTCATGTCAGGTATCTAAGTCACACCACATGAGCATTTTATTAATTTCACATCTTCTATTACTGTTCATATGCACACCCCCCCTTTTTTTTCCATTAGCCATATGTAATCACAACTTTTATATTAGATGATGAAATAGCAGAAGCATTCTTACATCTGTGCTTTCATTACTAGTGTTCTCTTCTCTCTTACGTTCCTCTTCCTCTTGCTCTAGTTCCTTAATGCTCTCCTCTAGAACATTAGGCCAGAAATCCCCTTCAAAGTAAGGTAGCTCTTTTGCACTTGTCAGACGATCTTCTGTTGCCTGCTTAAATATATCCTGAAAAAGAGCAAAACACTCGGTTAACCACTATTACAAGTCACATAAGTAAAAGCAACTTTTTCAATAAGTGATAAATAAAGGCACTAGCGGATCAAACAAAGGAGAGCTTAACATTTCAATTCATTTTATCGATTCATTTCATTTTATGCACATTCTAAGTGCAGATTTGACCCTGCATCAGTTGCAGATGGTTCAAATACATTTCAAATATTCCCAGTCCGAAGAAATAGACCACTGCCATGAAGCAGACTTCCATATGCATACTTAACAGGTGGGACAATATAATCACTACACTGTCGACACCAGCTGAAGTCCTGATAATTCCAAAGATTTCACATACTTCTAACTGTGTCAGAAACCTAACCTGGCAATTTCATTTCACACCAGAAGATTAAAGATTCCATATATTCTCTTTGTATTAATGAAATGAAATTCACTGTCTTTTTACAGTATTCCTCAAGAATTTAGTTTGTTAAAAGGGATCACCTCAAATCTCGTGCTAGAATGATTTCAGAAGCTACATGAAGAGGATATATTTTAACTCTAAACTTTTAGTGCTCAATTAAAGTAGAACCAATACAGTAAACTCCAAGAATCAGACACAATGCATAACGCAAGGAAGAAACCAAGACAGGACTGGTCAACACACCCTCCCCAAGACAAATGTACAGTTAACAAACCTTGTAATCATGAACAATGCGCTCCGACACAGATTTGTCCAGCATCTTTTTGTACCACTCTTGCAGTCGTTTGGGTTTGGGTATCTTTTGGTCAGGAGGATGGCAATGGAAGATGTAATCATCTCCTTCACTAGGTGGGCACGCCCAGATATGTCCAGTAGTATACCTAGCATCATCAGACAAGAAAAGTACATGTGGGGTCTGACAATTAATACTAGAGTTTGCTCTCCTCTCTGCCACGAGGTGGAGCCACTACGAAGTTGGCTGGTGTTACCAGATGGACAATAATTACAGCTCTCGGAGACTTTAATTCTAGAGTTCATTCCAGCTTCACTCTTGCAATACCATTACCATCTTTTCACTAATTTTTAAAAATTCAGCACTATATGCTAAGTAGTTTATATAAAATGCACACATTTTCCAGTCTAGTTAAAAATCAAAGCCTCACATAGACATGCCATCTTCCAATTAATTAGTAAGAGAAAGATAGAGACTAGGTATTTCAGTAGCAAAAGCCAGAATTCTTCTTCATTGAGACAGTGCAGTCATTCATTATCTATCAACATTTTGGAAACAGATTTACTTAAACACACAATTATTTTCTACTGTAATTCTTTTTTTTTTTAAACTTTGAGGATTGGTTTTAAAAGGTTTCACAATTATATCTCGGAATAAACAGTCACTGTCAACCTAAGCTATTGGGTGTACAATCCAAGTGCTACGAAGCCAGATGACATCCAAATAGTAGCAGCTGCAGAGAATATAATACCACAAAGATCACTTCATCCCCAGTTCTTATTAGTTTTTGAAAATAACTGCAGTAGGAGGAATAATCAGATCTCAAGTTAGAGAAAAATAGCCATCTTTGCTCTGTTGAGAAACAGCCCTGCAGAACCCTAACCAAACCCTGGGAACTGCAGCCAGTTATCATTCCTTCTGCCTGAGAAGGGAAGACATGATACTGCATGACCAATATTGTTTTCCCAAAATGAGAACCTGATGTTACCCATTAGCACAGAAAACAGCAATAAGTAAAACTGAGTCCCGAGTTCTATGCAGCAATTTTACAGACTCACAGGTTAGAAAATATGCCATTAAAAAAAAAGTCTTAACGTATAACTTTGAAGTACTAAGCAATCTGAAGACAGTACCACCCACCTCCATTCTGATTCCCCTAATTTTTCTCATGCAACTACTCTAAACCTAGTGCTTAACAATTTCTTCACGAATAACTCTCTGCCAAGCTACACCAGATACCTTTTACAACAGATTGATGTTTACTTCACTGCCTTTTATAAGTCAGTAATCATGGTAATTTAATTTCCACCTCTCATTTCTTCAGTTGTCCTGTGTTCTCTTTTGCACTGTCCCAAGTATACCCCCCTCCTTCTCTTCTAACTTTTCAGTTTCTCACAATTTCAACTACTTGTTCTAGATGATTTCTTATTGGCCTTACACAGCTGTTAGAGTTAATTAGTACAGACAGAATACACTTAACATAAACATGGGTAAGAGCTTGCTTACCAGCACAAAGGAATAACCTGATTAAAGCAGTGGCATTTCACAAGGCAACATTTTATGGTCCAGATAAAAAGGTTCACTTTTTCTACTTAAGTTTTATACATGTTGGGAAACCTAACAACATCTGAAGCATAAGCACCTCCTGAAAAGCCTGCAATCCTTTTTTGTCTTTTCTCCTTTTCAACTATACACCTTGTTGCTAAATTATGCTATCACCAATTAAAACTTAGGCACTACATTCTGCACAATAGGATGTAGTAATTTCATTTGCAATAAGAACCACCTAGCACAAATGCTGCGCAGAAGAAAACACTACAAAAGACTTACCCTAGTTTCTTGACATATTCTAGATATCCAATTAGTATTTCATGATAGACAGCAGTCCTCAAGCATTTAGGGCGGAAGAAATGAACACTGTCAAGGTAAGATATATACACTCGCCTAAAAAAAAAAAAGGCATGATGAGAAGCAGAGATTTCAAAGTAGTTCTACAAGTTTATTCACATTACTTTATATATCTGAAGCATCCAATACAATAGCAATCTTCAAAGCCTGTGATCCCAATCTACCTCTAGGAACTCAGCTTTTTTTTTTGATACCCTAGCCTCATTTCTCTAAAACTATCCAATTCCTTCCTTTAGAATACTGACAACTGATCCTTAAGGCAACAGTGTCTGCCAGCCAGCACCCCCAGGAAGAAGTAACTGACATATTCCCTGCAGAAGCTATTTTGTTTCTAGAAGCTAACAGAAGTTGAGTCTTCACAGATGCAACACTGAAGCTCTATACAGAACTTCAGAAGAAGGTTCACCCAACTGAGATAACACCAAAATAAAATAAACTTTCATGCAGCTCCTCACCTTTGATTGGGTGGCGGACAGTCTGAGCCATACTCCTGCACATGCATCCCAAAGAAGCACAAGTCTACACCATCAATCTCCTCAAAGGCAAAAAGTGCTTTTGTTCGATAAGGGAAAGACTCTGCCATCTCTCCACTGTCTACAAATCTGCGGATTATAGAGGGTAAAGGGGAATACCAAGTATATTCACATATTAGAGAATACATGTCACTAGGTAAAGACAACAACGATGAGGGCTACTGTAAGTGTGATTTTAATGTAATTTTAAAGTTAAATGTTTACAGACTACTCAAATACAAGGCATCCACTTTTTACTATGACACTCATCACAACTAATTAATATGCTGCTGTAACATCTGCTTGCCAAGAACTAGTCAGTGGTGAGGTTTTGAATACAACAGTCTCTCTTTTTTCTAAATAGCAGCATATAAGTACAAGTAGCTTCCACCTCCCCCAAAAGAAAGTAAAATTAGAAATGGAGAGAACATACCTTGCTTTCATTCCTGGTTTTACTTCAACAGTTTTGTCAGATGCATGTACCACCCTAACTGTAACCTCTCCTGCCTCAGGGTGATTCTGCCGTCTTAGGAAATCATTGACTCTGTTCTCCAAGAAGGTACCAAGTCTTGTAGCCGGTAACCCTGCAGAAAAAAATACAGCTCTAAATACATACAAAATGGAACTGTTCAGATGAGAGTTCTCTATTCAGATATTAAATGAAAAGTGACTCTTAATACATGCAGTATGGTATCATAAATTAAAGCTTTATCTTTAAACACTAACACTTCTAGATGGGAGTGAGCTACTTTTCACCTGCAGGCGTGTTTATGGTTTATACATTATTTAAATGAAGAAAGATTCTGTATTTTAACCCAATTTTATCCATCTTAAAAGTCAATCACAATTAAGGCTCCTCTTGAATAGAAGCTTTTAATTACTGAAACTGGATCACAAAACACTGCTCTCAGACATAGCTTCAAGAGCAGACATTGCATTTGGAAATATATTGTCTATAAAGCCATGCTATAGCCAACATAGTCTTTCTACTTACCAAAAGAACATATTTCAGTAATGGAAAGAACAACTAAATACAACCGTATCCGCAAGTAATGTAGGTAGTTTAGATGTTTCTCATTTTCAATCAATCTTCATACAAAGAAGTACAAGCATAACATTAGCTGACACAAAAACTAAAGTTGAAAGGGAGTTTAAGACTTCTGGTGTAACAGGGCCTGTCTCATTGCTGTCCATTACATCTGACTGAGTTACATATCTGCCAATCAGCCTGAACACCTCTTCTGACTGACCTGTAAGCCATCCCCCACATTTCAAGACAATTTACAGTCTTGATATCCTCCTTCCTCTTTTTCCAAAGAAGGAACTTAAAAAGTAACTACTTAATACTACAGTTAATGCTTGTTAGAATCTTGATTCTGTTGGTTGGCTGGGGATTTTGTTGGGGTTTTTTTTGTTGTTTTGTTTTAGCAGAAATGTAAATACTCACTATTTGTAAGACCTACACCAACCTAAGAAGCTTCTGAAAGACTTATTTTGTCTATAGAACAGATGGACAACAACTGCACAAATTTCCTCCTACACTGCCTTCAAATCAGCTGCCTTGATCAAGAGGAAATGTCTATACTTTTGTCACCAGCTGATGCAACCTTTATCTCCATCAAAGGTTTTAAAAGAAGCAATAGTCACAGTGACTTGAGCATGTTATCACATATTTAAGTTAGATTGCAGTCAGACAGCAGCTATATCCCAATGCCACTAATACTGCAATTGAGATAAAAGGATGTGTGTGTATCTTGCATTAGCAGTGCTCTAAAACAGTACGTTAACCCTCTACAACTGACTATTGACCAATGAGAACACCTGTGAATGCAAATGTTCTGAACATCACAGAAGTGATGTTCAGAACTGACCAAACGTATCTTCCTTTAACTGGAAAAAAAAAAACTGAAATAAATACAAAATGTGCATAAAAGCCACTGCTTTCCCATTCTTAAAAAATTATTTACAATTTGTCAGTGCAAGTGTCAGAATCTTACTTTTAGCAGAGAATTTGTTCTCTTTTCTGGTTCGTCCTGTTTTCTTTAGGCAGCCATCACAGACAAAGCTGAAGCAAAAACAGGAGAAAGTGAAAAACCACCCCAAGTCAGTCCATAAAGTTCCTTAGCATCTTACCATTAGAAGCAAAATCTTTTACCAGATCTAATCTGGTCTGGAAAATACCTTAACTGAAATTTGAAATAAAAGACAGCTCAAAGAGCAGTGCCAGCAGAAACAGCCCAACTGTTTCAGAGCTGCAGAGGAGGATCCAAGCTCCAGGGGATGCGTCTCCTGTCAGTCATCCATGTCATGACCTGCAACCCAGGAACAGGGTCTCCGCTGACAGGTCTAACAATATCGGCTTAAAGTATTCTTGGAACAAATAGTCTCAGAGTGCTCTCTCTGATGAAGATGAGATACTGTAATACATAAAGCTAAAGGCTGATTTTTTTCTAAACACCCAAGGACACTGCAGCATGAAATGATGGACAAATTCTTCCTCAGTTACAGGATATGTCTACCCTCTTCTGCAGCAATGTGGATGGGACCACAGAATAATTAAGTCACAGCTTTCTTGTCAGCAAAGGCAGGATTCAAGCTCTTACAGAGCTTTATCTGCATATAATTGATCAGCTTTAAAAAAAAAAAAAAAACAAACCAAAACCTTTTAAAGCAATCAGGAAAAAAAAAAAAACAACAAAAAATTTGATCAAGAACTACAGGGTATCTAAAGATGACCAGATTGTTTTTCAGTTTTAATCTGATCACTGAGGTCAAAAAATGAAGTCAAATTTAAATTCTCTAGTAGTAAGAAATTTTTTTGAAGATGACAAAGCAATATGATTTGTACAGAAAATAGATCAGTATGAAATTGTTACCAGAACTAAAACATCTTTTCATGAAGGACTAGGATCTTTAAACATAAAAGGCTGAAAGGCCATCTTCCACACACAGGACTGTTAGAAACATTTAAGATTAGAAACAACTTCACACACAGCACAGTAAGATATGATGCCTAAATTTAACATTACCCTCTATATTCTGAAAATTTGCAACTTCTTTCATTAGACACTCTTTTAAATATAACCAATATAAGGAAGTTTATGCACTAACTCAAGCAAATCTATCATATACTCTCTACTTAAGGAGAAATTCCTCACCCTGAAGGCCAGATTATCTCATTATGAAGAACACAGATCTGGTGCATTTTTCTTCCACACTCTATACATTCAACAAACCTGTAGAAGGAAAAAGGGGGAAGGGAAGCAAGGTTAGTAGTATCATTACTTCCTTGTATATTTTGCAACATTTCATTAGAGGAGTTCTATCATTTAGGCTCTTGAGCCTATTTAACACAGAGGGCACATCTATGCTGAGAACAGCCTCCAGAACGAATGAAGAATCTGTCAGCTCAAGTCAGGCAGACTATGCAGGGACACATTATTATTACCATTTGCTTGCCTTACTGCCATCCGCTTCACTCAGATTTTTTTTAAAGTGAAGCCCTTCTAAGGATAAAATCTGTACCCTGCTTGTTACTATAATGGAGAGAACAATGGATTCACAGGTGTCAGAAGCAAAGAATCAGGAGAAATAGTTGGCTGTTAGTTGCCCCACTATGCTTGAAGCCTGGGGTACGTGGCAAATATACTGCAGAAAGATGGGAAGGAAAAAAACAGAAGCAATGTCAAAGTTGCTTTCAGAAGACTAGCAGAGATTTAAGGACAACTGAGGTAAGTACTATGGTCTACTTGACAGATGTTGAATATAAATATCCAAAATATCTAAGGTTGCTTCATGTATCAGGACAATCTGACTCCTTTTGAACATGTCTACTTATAACAGCCTCACATTTTGAGTGACTAGCTCTAATTTATGTAGAGCACAGGGTATCATACTCCAAGTTAGGTTTGTATTCTAGCGTTAGGCTGTATCTTTGCTGTAACAGAGAAAGACTATTCCTCCTTCCCACAATCCTTGTAAAACAGAAGAACTGTCTGACCCATATGCCCTTAGAAAGATAGTGTGGGAAGAATACATATCCTTTTTGCTCATTCATTTGAGAATGACGGTAATGCTTGCAGAGTAGCAGCACAGGTGTGTAATGCAGGAACGTGAGAAGTGGCTTCAAAAAAACCATCAGGAATGTAAAGAAAAGCAGCTGAGTCACCATCATCTCAACTTTACTGAATGTGTATAGTTCTGCTTCCAGAGCAGTGTAGAAGTGGCTGATTCAAGTTTAACAACTTTCTTTCTAGTACAGCTGCCTGTAAAATACAACAACTAGAAAAGCCAACAGCATGAAAAGAGCTGCCACCAGAAGACCCAAATCAGTTCTGAGACTTGAGCATTTGCCACACCAGGGCTTCAAATTAGAGTTATCTTCATTCATCCTTCTGTTGAATCCACACTCGAGACAACACAGTGCATTAATTTCAGCCCATACAGTGTTACATATTTCTTGAGTACAGCTGTGGCAGTTTGGGTTCTCAACACAGAATGCCAGATATGCTGCTTACTGAGCAGCCCCTGCAAGCTTAAAAAGCTACATGAAATTTGGAAAACACTGAAAAACAAAGCTGATGGTGAACGAATAACATATTTTATAAACTAGTTATAATGAAATGAGGATCATTCAAAGTGTGACAGCGTTACTTACAGTTCAGGGTCCAGTGTATCATTTTTCCTTTTCGAAAACTGTTCTTTGTTTATTGTGCTACGGAGAAACAGGCAATAAAACTCAGTTTTAACACAAGACAACATACATTCATGCCATACCACACCTATCCACATACCACAACAAAACCTGCAAGAAGATTTTTTTAAACAGTCACTGGCACTACAAGGAAAGGTGTTGTATTTCACAAAGTGACAAACAACTAAAGTATATGCCACCCTTAACCCTGCCTGTGGAAAACATGCTTTTCTATGGGACAACAGCTTATAGAGAACCACATTGCTCCCTGATTCAGTTTTACTACAGGATAAATGGTAAAACTCACTGACATTCAAGTTTTGGACCAGTCTGATCAGATCATTTTATTTCAGTGTTTATTCTGAATAATGCCACCTGTAGAATACTTCTAATAAGGAGGGTTCTATCTCCCAGTTACCTCAAACTATTATTATAGTATGGAAAGTAGAACTGTAAACAGGACCTGACATATCTATGACTAATCTTTTTTGCTTTTGTTCATTTTAACTACAGGTTGTGGGAAGAGAGGAAGGGAGCAGGATCTCCATGCTCCTGTAAAAGGAGTTCTTAAGAGAAAGCCTGTAAGCGGATGAGAGAACATTCAGAAGTGTACTTGATCCTCACGAGCAGCCTATAGCCTCCATTTTCACTACACAACAACCAAGCATTTAAATCAGCTATGAAAAAGAATACCAGGAGCTGCAAGTATATTCTTAACACTGTTTGTGTTCAAAGAGCTTCTGATTGTTTTCTTTTTTGAAGAAAAAAAAATTGCATCCAGCATCTGTGTTTCCAAATCTAGCGTAAAAATCAAAAGCACTCTATGCTGCCTTCTACCCTGACCTGGCAAACCATTACAACTTAAGTGTATGGGAAAGACTGTACTCTCTCAACAGCTAAACAGAAATTTATATATAAACATCAGTATATTTGATGTTTAGTTATACACAGATTTACATGTATATAGATACTTGTTTCTCTCATACGTAAAGTACTTCATATCCCACATCTCATATGAACAAAACTGGACAATATTGACTAAACTTTGTGTCTTTGCCTCCAGTAGAGTAGCAATCCATACTATCCACAGGGACATGGCCCATTGTACTGACCAGCATACTAACATCATTTCTTCCTTCGAGAAAGGCCGGCGTACTCTTACATCTTCCTGAGCCCAATGGATTCTTCCACTGCTCCTCTAGATACATGCATCAGCGTGACCAGGACTTGGTAACATGCTGCTAAAGACTACTTCTAGTGAAAGGTAACTTTGTCCAATTACCAACTTTGACAACTCTCCCCTTGGCTTCAGACTTTCCTAAGTTTCACACTTATTTTTATCTGCAGTGTTCCTGTAATGCCCTCCTCCAAAGAGCTTTCTTCAACAGCTCGAAGAGTAACTGCTTGGCACTCATCTGTCCCTCAAGGGCTTCCTTAGTGCCCCAGAATTGTTTCAATTTTTTGGGGGGGAGATGTAAGGAGGGTACAGCAGAATGAAAGGCTGTCCCAATCGTTTGCCACTAGCATGGAAAAGGCAACTAAATCCATGCACAGTCTTTTACAGGGATCTCTTCAACAACTGCACAGCATTTCTCATAAGCAGATGGCACTCCAACAGAAAAATATTTGTATGGCAAAAGGAGATTGCTTGCTTCTGTTTTGAATGAAAAACTATCTGAAGTTGAATACAAGCTTAATAGCCCAGCCAGTCTATAAACAGAATGGTACATTTGACTATTTCAGACTATGTCTATCATTTATCTGCCTGCGGGCACAGTTGTTTTTCTGCAGTAGAATACTTTCATACTCTTTTAGAAAAAAGCTATTATCTTCTTTCCCCTCTATTGGTATAGTTGCAATTTTAAGCAGTAAGTGCTTATTTCTTACTGCAGTTCATTCAGTCCAGTTTTTAAAGAAAAAAATCTACAGCACAAGCCCAGGCTTTTATGAAGAATATTTGGTCCACCTTCTACTAACCTATAACAGTGAGGGTTACCTAAAACTAAACTTCCCTTTGAGAAAGAACTATAGACCATGATAGAGATTATGAATGTACAGCCCAAGCAAACACAAATAACTCACGTTTGAGGTTGTGAGGGGTCATCTCCCAGAGAAACGCTCTCCCCTTGGATTTCGTTGAAGCACTTCTCACAGAAATGATACCTGTCAGCAAGAAGGCCATATTTGGGTGAACTGCTCCGTCCACACAACACAGCCCAAGTCAAGCAATGGAGCCACCAATCACAGCAGGCCAAGGAAGGGACAGGAGCAGAGAGCAGGTCATCAACGGCGACAAGGATATTCAATGATGCAGATTTATGGGCCCCACATTGTGTTTGGTTGGTTTTTTTTTTGGTTTGGGTTTTTTTTTTTGGTTTTGGGCAATCAAAGCCAAGTGCAGACAATGACAAGCATGAAGGAGAAACAAAAAATAACACACACACAAACAAAGAAATGGGGGTTTGTAGGACAAAACCAAAAACATAGAAGCAGAACAAGACAACACAAAGCAGAAAGCCAAGGCAAAGCACAGATTAGCATTAAATCTCTCAAGTGGGTTCACAAGCAACAAATGATTAAAGCAAATTAAACGAGAGTATTTAATTTTAGCATACCCATACCCTCTTCATTTTAATAATCCATGCCATGTAAAGCAAAGAATTAAAATGAGAAAGGGGAAAGAGCAGAAGCAAGGCAGAACTACTACTCTGACTTGTCCATCAGCACAGCAGTTATATTGGCAAGAGGATCTGCAGGAGACCAATGGAAGAGGGATAGTCTTCCATCTTAAATGTATAAATGCTGAAAGGCCACAGGATTCTCTCCCAGTTGAAAGAGAAAGCTAAACATCACAAGCTTAAAGAGCAATAAAATCTGTCCTCAAAAATCTTACAGACATTAATTATAGAACTGTCAAACCGTATGTTACATTAACTACACGCATAATGCTCCACATTGATATGATTCTACCATAGCCCAGTTGAGTGTAGAATAGTTCAGGTATCAATACAGCAAGTATTACAGAGAAAGATTTCATTTACACTTGAATAAAATAGTGATTAATTCAAGACTCTACCCCAGCCCTCAAAAATGTTCTAAAACTGTGGCCTCTCCATTACTAGGGCAGGTTAACTGTGTGCACAAGACACTTAGAAATAGAAAAAAAAAAAATCAAGTTTATTATAAACCAACACTATAGCAGCTGTTAAGCTAAAAAAAAAAAAAATAGGTGTCTCAGCTCTCTCTCCCAGTTTTCATCTGAGATAATGCAGATAATACTACTTCTGGAACTACATTTCAGCCTATAGATGTATATGGATGTGTGTACACAATATAACTTACAAGTCACATGTAAGTACCTGTTACAGTGCAAATGCTCCCTTCTAATGTTTGAAAATATGTAAAGCATGTCAGATTTTTGGTCTTTTGGTCCATCTAGTGTTTGTCTACAGATAAACGTAAGCAGAAGATACTGAGTTATGATATGAAAAGCTCTACACTATGTAAGTCTAAAACTACAATAGTTACTATGGGATACTTACTACAAGCTTATTTCTTACTTTTTCACTCCTACAAAACCTCCATTCACTGCTATAAAGCTTTATGAAGCCTAAGAATATTAAGATATAATTCCTGTAGCTCTGATTGCTTTCACCTGACCAGGTGCTTAAGAAAACTACAATTCTTGAAAAATCTTCTTGGCTTTCAGGTAGAAGCCTCAGTGTTTTCATTAGTTTGGTGGGGTTTTTTGTTTGTTTCGGGATTTGGGATTTTTTTGTTCATTTTAAGGTGCTGGAAAGAACGAAGACCAGTAACTAAATCAATGCAGGTGACAAAGTTTGGAGGTAACCAGCCCTTTGCTCTAACAGATACATTCTGATGACAAAGCCAAGGGATATGGGAGTGTTGAAGCATATATTTCCTTGCTTCTTTCTGCCTTGTTTCCCCAGCTGGCTAAGAGATGTCTAGCAAGAAACCTTCCTTCAGAAGTCAAATAGGTTTCAATCCTTTAATAAACCCCAAGTAAAAAAAAAATTAAAAAAAAATCAGAATTGCTGTAGAAGTAAGTGACAGCACTTTACAGAGCTGCTTACAGCTACTTCAAGACAACTCTCAAGGAAACTTTGGGAGAAAAAGCAAGCACCAATCTACTCAAATCTGAATACACAAATGTTCCAATGAAGATTTGCACCACAAAAATAAGTTTGCTCTTCAGTGTTAACATCATGAGAAAAACAAAGACTTGCCAAGTATATAATATATTAAAACATTAATATACTTGCTGCATAGTTTAGTCGGTGTTCTGCATAAAAAGTACTGCTGCATGGTAGGAAGCAAAGATGTATATACGAAATCTAGATAACTGAAGATTTAATTAACTGCAGGATAAAAATTTAGTAAAACATAACATTTCTGCAAACAAAAGAGGAAGAACAAAGGCTGCAGCAAACTTTTGCAGAAATAAATCATTAACATGCAAGGCAAACTATTCAAGGGCACTTCCAGCAAAATTTTATCTTAAAACAAAACAAAGGTGTAAACATATAAAGAAGGTGTATATGTAAATACACGCATGCATTTAACAGATTGATTGCAGCATGCACAAAACCGCAGCAAGTGAGGTTTCCTTACCTGTTCTGGTAACTGTAGTAAGTGGCATCTCTAGGGATTGTGCATAGCTGTTTGCCATAGCAACACAAAGTCTGCGGCGAGAACTCCAACTGCAAAGAGGAATGAGTCGTCTTAGTACTCATATGTGTTTTCACTTGCTCCCTATGAGAAGCAAGCATGACCCAGACAATGATCATCTCCACCTTAATCTCTGCACAGATCTCACAGTACAGCAAGTGCATGAAGCGCTAGAGTCATAAGAAATGTTCAGTGGGCTCAACTTAGCTCTTCTCCAAAGATGGAAAGCATATCAAAACAAGACAATGGAATTGCACAGTCTCCATATACAGTGAAACAGAGTTCACTTCCTCTGCAGTAACAAAACCACATCTGTTTAATTTGCAATAGCAGACGGGTTCACCCTGATCAAAATAAGCCTTCAGTTACTGACTTTTTTCTGACAAGGGCTTATATACAAATAGATGATTTGAGCACTAGATAGAATGAGAAAATCCATAAAAATCTCTGAATCAGATTACTCAGGATTGATAAATCTGGGTAAGCTCTCAAAATTTTTGACACTCCGTAACTGCTAATAACTGCAACTGCTGTACTCTTCCCCCTTCAATACCAGGCAGGAAGCAAGCAGCAGAATAAAAATATTTATTTTCTTACCTTTCTTCCACAGCAGTAACCAAGGCTCTGCATAACTGGGTCAATTTCTTGCTCAAACACCTCTGCCAGTTTGGAACAGTACTTATATACCCGGGATGTTTTGCGGTTATAGAGCCAGGCATTATTGAACATGAGCCAGATGTCATCCACGTATTGCCATGGTTCCTGATACTGTCCTGTGTCAAGCTTCCTCTTGATAGTAGAAAGGTCCATGGGGTTCTTCACTATGTCAAAATAATCCTGCAAGAATACACAGCAGATCAAAACACTACTACAGAACTATGTTGTGACATGACAGCATGTGCATTCTCAACATATAAATTCTTCTGCATCACATCAAGAAAAACAGGTTCCTCCCTGACTTGATTGTCAAACCGCTTGTGACATACAATGAAATCTCTATGTAATACCATATCACTCCCCAGTGCTTCCTTTTCATTATTGCTTTATTCCTCAGGCTCTATTGCTTTTCCACTCCTGATGAAATAAAGCCACTCTAATTTTAAACAGCAAAATAAGTATTACAGAAATTAGGAAATGGCAATGTTTTTGCAGCCACTATGATTTGAGGATATACACAAGAGCATTAATAAGAAGTGACTGGTTTTAGTGGACCAGACAACCTAACAAACAAAAATAAATAACTTTATTAGATTATAGAAGATACCATGTCTCTTCTGAAGAATGCTATCTTCCAGTCCCACCCCATCCCCCCATCACTTATAGGGCCACTTCTCCTACCAAAGTCCTCAGAATATGATGGCCAATTGAGAGCTTGTTAAAGAATATTAGAAACATTTACACCTGGCTTATAATACAGCAGGCCTTGAATTGTTGCACTATCTGTCCCCCCCAAGAAATCCAAACCAAAACCAAACAAAAAACCTTCCAGGCAAAAAATGTTGCCCAAAGCACCTAAGTAGGACTTCTATGTGTTCATATTTTTGTGGCCAGTCCAGAGAGTTTAAAACACTGATCCCTGAAGGACAGTAATGTCTTCTGAAGACAATTCTAAAACAAGCAGAAAATTCAACCCGAACAAAAAATAGAAGTTGGATAGTCTCCTCCGTGCTTATAACAGATTAATAATAATTGATGGATTTTTTTTTTTTTTCCAAGTGGTCTTGATTTGCTTAATTTCCCACGTATTCAGCCAAGTTCCACATATGACAAGAAACACCTATGGAACTCAGCAACGGAAGCATCACAACATGAAGCAACATCCATAAAAAGCCCACACAGCACTGGGGATCTGCTGGTAATCACTTCAGTGTATGGTATACCTGCTTATTTATCAAAAGGAACACAGAACGGAACAAACTTTTGAAAAAACAAACATTCCTAAGTCAGACATTGTATGTTTCACTGCCTAAGCTAAACCTCTTCAAATGCATTAATATTAAAATGTTAACATGACAGACTTAAGCTGTTCTATAGCAGTTCTGAATTAAAGCCAGGAAAGTATTTTGCTAAGACACTCACAGGAATTCCTAGGAGTTGGGGATCTACAGGCTGTCGAAATGGAAGAGACTCTGGATCCTGACGGTAAAGTGCCTCCAGTGTTGGCATAAGGGCCTGCCGCAACTCTTCTGGCTTGAAAACTTTTGCAAAACAATCAACATTAGAAAGACAGCAGCAACAGCTGTAAGGAAGAAACCTGCTGGAAAATGTGAGGTCTGTGGAAAAAGACTACAGACAATAGGTTTAAGTTACTTAGCATGACTTGTTTATCCTCTGCAACACTAAGTTCTGAGGATATTAAAATGATCACCTGGACACAAGGAGATGGCCAAAATATTAATAAGAATGTTTTATCATAGGAAGACACTACTAATTTAATAGAGACAGTTTACATTCCAAATACGGCTCCCCTCTGAGGTCCCAAGAACAAACTTGTCTAGAAAATCTGTAACTGAGGAATATTTCAAATCTCTATTGTACTGACAATTTTACTAAAACTTAAATGTCTAATACTAAAGCCTTAAAGAACTTGTCCAAAGCCAATTACAAGAACATGTATTAGACATTTTTGTCCAAAAGCCACAAAGAACAATTCATATAATTCTACTGAATACCCATGAAGAAAGCTCAGGTTTTTTTCTCCCTGAGGACTACCCTGGGGAGGTGCAGTGAATTTCAGTCAAAACAGTGTTCCTGCTTACTCTTTTTCTTAGACTGCCCAGCTGCTGGAGAAGACTGAGTAGCTGGAGTAGTAGGTCTTTCTTCCCCCTCTCGTATTTCAGTCTTCACTTCAGATTTCTTCTCTTCTTGTTCCATTGGGTCTGGTTTACATTCCTCCACGACTGGTTCTACTTTAACCTGGAAAGTAGTTTGGAGCCTGTCACTTAGTCTCCTGTGAAGCCACCCATCCACATTTCTGTCCTTTAAACCTATCTGCTACCCTTAATCCTAGGGAAGAGTGGTAGGCAGGATATCTACCATGTAATCAAAACTTGCCTAAAACTTCAGCAGATGTGCTAGACCGCATCTTTAAAAACTGCAGTGGTAGCAATGATGAGCCGGCAACCAGTTCTGAGCTGCAAGGAGACACACAGGTACTCATCCAGCTCTTCAGGCAGGTCTGAGTGTCCCTCCTAAACTGGGGCTGCACAGATGTTGCTGCTGTCAGTCAGATTCCTAGCTGTCCTCAGTGACAAGTTGTCAGAGCCCAGTAAAGCAGCCCATCGCATACAGATCCACTGTTCTAACATTTAACAGCTGCCAATAACATCTGAAGGACTGACCCGAGTGCCTTCTTATATTGGCATTTACCAAAAAGCCTCACAGTTGCAACTACATTATGATGGTCCTTCCTGCGGTCACTGGCTTCTACCACCATTTCACCACAAAACACAGACCCTCCTTTAGGTAGCAGTAGGAGAAGACTACAGTCAAAACAGCAGCAGCAGGTAGTATCTACAGCTCCCACTGAGCTTTGGAAGAAATGGCTTGCATGGAGACAGAAGGTATCTAGCTGCACTAGGCAAAGATATTCCACCCAACAACTGGCTGACAGTCTTACCTCAGATTTCTCCTCCATTTGCAGCTCTGTTTGTTCTGGTTCCCCTTCATCAGTTTTAATATCCATTTTTACTTCCTGCAAGGGTGGCTGCTGCTGCTCTGGAACAGTCTGCTGAGAGTTCACCTCTGTGCTGCTGGTGGATGGGGGGTTGGATACCTGCCCGTCAATGGTTACAGCTGGCTGTGAAAGCTGAGGGAACAAAACACACGTTACAAACAGGCTTCTAATGAACTTATTTTTCTTTCTCTAATCTAATTTTTACCGATACTACATTTCTACAAAGTTTAAATGCACTCTAGTCCTCCTTGCTTCAACTGAAGTTGCTACACAACTCCAATTATAGAAAAAACATGCAACAGAAACATGCACTGGAAGGCCTAGTACACAGAAAATTACATACTGTTTCCTTATCGCACACCACCACAGTGCATAAGTGGACATAACTAAAGACCTCATCCATGTTTCACAGTGAATTTTAAAACATGCACTAGAATTCTGAAAAATACTCCCTCTCTGTAAACACCAGATAATTTATAGACTTGTCTTGATGCAAAAAGGTTACTTTCCATATACAAAAAAATCCTATTTTGATATTAAACATGCCAGAAGCTACCTCCATTATCACAGACTGTCACAAAAATAAAAAACCAACTGAAAACTAAACATTACACTTAAGCATTTGCAGGGAAAGCACAGTTAAAGTATTTCCTTACAGGTGTTGTGGGGTGCTGAGGCTGCAATGGTGCTGTTGGTGTCGGAACAGATGCTGTCGTGCTCTGCTGTGACAAGGGTTGCTGCTGTTGCTCTGCAGTAGGGGTAACCGGAACTGGAGGCTGGACTTGTGGAGGCAGCTGTGCCTGTGGAGGTGTTGGAGTCTGCCTTTGGGGGGGGTGCATAGTTTGTGACTGTGGTCCAGGTGGCATTGCCTGAGCAGTAGGTGTGGGGTCAGTAGTGGCAGCTGCCGCTGCCTGCTGTTGCTGTGATCCCAAGCTTGGGGGCGTGTGGTGAGGTGTTGGGGTTCGGCTAGGTACTGGTGAAGGAGAATTTCGGTGCATGGGAGGCTGTGGAAGAGGTGGGCAGTGAATATGGCTCCCTTGAGAACCTGGAGCCATTGCAGGAGAATTCACAGGACAGGAAGCGCTGGTCATTTGTGCCTGTGGGAAAACAAGTACACATATTGCAACGACTTGAAACAGAATAGTGAGACAAATTACTGTCAAATGGCTGCTTTCCTACATGACTTGAAATAGAATAGTGAGATAAATTACTGTCAAATGGCTGCTTTCCTACAGTTACTGGCATACTTTTAAAAATGTGACAAACTATGTTTTGTTTTTAAAAACACTATTTCAAAAGGAGAAATGAAGTATATAATTTATTTTGCTCCACATGAACATAAAGCTGTTCTAAAATTTATTCAGCTCTAAAACAGAAGTTTCAATAGGATAACTTATACTCGTCAATATATTTAAAGCATGGCACCTACACTCCCAGTTTGAAAAACATTTCTTTCTAAAACTGCAGATTTGTACATCCTGAATACGGGACAGCGCACTGCAGTGAAAGATTGCATTCAATTGCACTTAGTGTGCCCATGCCCCCACCCCCAAGACTAGAAACTGAATTTATCATCAGAAATAAATACAGCTGTAAGTACACCATTACAAGATTACAAAAAAAAATTGTATTGGTCAAGGAAAAAAGCTGTCACTCCACAATAATCTTGCCTGCAAACTAGGAAGAAGCATCAACGAGAAGCAAACTGACGTTCCCTACTTCTTCCTGGCCTGAAAGGTTCTTGCTGAAAAGGGAGAGGGAAAGGACAGAAAGGAAACTGCTAGACTGGAAGTTTTCTTTAGTAGTAATAACCCTCCTATCCCCCAAAGCCAGCAACACACATTGGTCCTGGATAGACACGCCTTTTTATGACTTATTTCACCATCTCTTAATTTCTCAGGCTCGGCTGCTTTGCTGTCCATCCTTAACAACTGCACGTTGAGTAATAATTTCTTCTTTACTCCATAAAAACAACCCCAAAAAAAAAAATTCCTCTGTCACACTTAAGCCTGAGAACAAGCCAACAATATTTCACCCTTGCCATTCCCAGTGCTACATCAGGAAAATGCAGAGTCTCAATAAATTCATTCAGTTGACTATAATTCCAAGAGCATCTTGAGAAAACAAGTTATTCTCCAATGAAACCAAGTATTTGACAGAGCCCACTGACACCACTTCCAGAAATCAGAAACTTACTTGAGAAACCGGTGTCTGATTGCCAGGCTGAGTCATAGGCATGCTTGCTGTGTTCATTCCTGGGGAAGAAGCAGGGAACTGGGTCTGTTGCAGAAACTGATTCTGACCAGAAGGCTGGCCAACTCCTGGTTGCTGCATACGTGAAGGAAATCCCATCTGTTGGAAAAGAAAGGAAATAATTTCATGCAATGTGCCTACACTTCCATAACATTTTACCAAAAAAACTATTATTTTGTTGCAGAAAGTGATGCATGCTGCTTATCTGTAGGATACAATATGTAAAGTCTGCTTATAGCTCCTCTCAAAAACCAGAAATTATTATGATTTCCCTTGTAAGCTATGTAAAAAGATATTGATTTCAGACTGGGACTGTGACTACTTAAGATTTTTGTTCCTTGTTTTAAGGATGCAACAGCACAAAAAGCCACTTAAGTTTTAGACAATTTGTACCACCAAGATCTAAAGGCTTACTATAGACCAGACAATCTTTCAGTGGAGATGCAAAAGGAGGAATCCAAAGGGTCAAGAGAATGAAGAAATAATGCTTGATTTTTGAAATTTCTTTTAGTTATTTTAAGGAAACCACAGCCAACAGAAGCAAACATGTGAGCTCACCCCCCTGGACAAAACACACACTGACCTGGTTCATGGCCCCAGCCTGGCTTAGCTGTCCAGGGTGCTGAAGAGGAGGGGTTTGCCGGGGTCCCATCGATGACAGCTGCATGTTCATCTGGCCAAACTGATTCATTCCTGCACGTTTGTGACAAAAAAACCACTTACAAACAAAGGCCTGAATTCTCCTTTGGGCACCATTCAACATTTGGAGAAGTTTCCATCAGTTTCTTCCTAATTTCATTTTCTAGCAACCAGTTTTCAAGCACACAATACTACAGATATTTCCTTCTATCAATCAGTTACATGGAAGAATTTTAAATATAAAGCATCCAAGCTACCGCACTCTTTCAGCATACAGACTAGATTTTTTTTCACTGAGTTTCCACTAACTTATCAAAGCTCTGAAGTTTGAGAACTACTGGAGTAAGTAATAGCCAAGTGTCACATCTACTGCTGAAGATCAATGTTCTACAGAAAGTTGTATTATCTTAACTGCATATTAGATATTCACTTACTGAATCCCAAACTGTATCCTCATTTCCTTAAGTACTTTGTATGTTGGCTACAATACTTCTTGAATATGTAACAAAGGTTCTGCCCTGTCCTTCTGAGCAATAATTCTCACTGTCTTCCCTCTACCACCACCATGTCCTCATCTAAGCTGGCTCTTCCTACCTGTTTGACTGACCTATGTTAACACACCAGAAGTTCCAAAAGCATCAAGTTCTTTATTTAACAAAGCAAGCAGCTAACGTGCAGTTCTTAAATTCACAAGATCATTAAACGCTGTTAGAACTACATACACATAGGATTTTATATATATATATATACATAGATAATGTGACTATAGTTATGTAAGTATTATACAATATAGATAGCTATTTTCTTAATCAAATGGGAAAACTGCGGGTGAAACAAAG